TGTTGTTTAGAGCTGTCACTGAAGACGCCCAGTCCCTGCAGCGCTTTGTGATTGCATTTGGTTTAAAACGGCACGCTGGAAACCATGATAGAGACAGTTCCATTCAAACCTCTCTATCTCTCTTTCTTTCTGTCTCCTCTCTCACACACACACCAGGCACAATTCAGAGAAGAGATCCCCCACACAGAAGCAACATTCAATCTTGTGCCAGCTTATCACACACACACACACACAATCATAGTCCGTCATCTGCAGCATACAGCATCTTTTAGAGTGTTTTGGACTTACTAAATTGCAGATTCTTCCTGTCAATCTGATATTGACATGTTTTTTTTAGTCCCTGTCTCTCAGCAATAGTCTATAGATTGGTCAATCACACAGATGATGTGTGGAATTCCTCACAAAGTCAGACAGCTGCTGTGATAGACTGACATATTGGTCAGGCCAGTTAATCGCAAGCATAAAGTTTTTATTTACTGAAATGTTGAGATTGTGTGTTGATGCCAGAGTTACATACCAGATTTTACAAAGTTTTACACTGTCCTTATGCCCAATTTCTCAAATGTCTGTATCGTAGGATACAGACACTAAGGGTTAACATGATCTTGTGCAAATCCTTACCAATAAACAATGTTGAAAATTTATTGCAATTAAAGTTGAAGTGCATATTTTCTAATAGTCTCATTTCTGAAGTCTGAAGTTCTGAAGGAACAGAAAGCCACGTCCCAAACACACGTCATTAGATGTGCTAATGTTTCTTTGTCAAACATTTGTTCAAATCTTTGTTTTTAAGCAAATATTATGCACAATACATTGCCATTACATTGCAATATTTTATTTCATTTAAGCGTTTTTGTGTTTGATTAAATTGTATTAGGTAGACTGTATATCAGTGTTGTACCAGCCATTTGGCCACTCTCTTGAAGAACCCATATCAGTCGCAAATTTTAAATACCCTTTTCATCTCTCTCTCTCCTTCTATCTCTCTCAGTAGTGACAGGAAATCATAATCATCTCGTCTGTTTTTCTCTCTATTTGTATTCTGTCCTCACTGGGTGATCGATATGTAATCCTAACAGCAATGTTGCTTTATGGATCTTATGTGCTTTCTTACATATGTGCTGGATATCTGGATACACTCAGTTAGAACACATTATGGGTGTAACCTGCTTTTGTAACGTGTGGTGCAATATTTAATTTGTGACATTTTAAAGCTGACATCCGGTCAGATCTGTCAGTTACACTCAACCTACCCCATCCTCAGGTCTGACCTCAATATTGTTCATCATGGTAATGAGGCGTGAGAATCAGGAAATCAAAGATTTTACACACATTCCTGTGTGGAGGTGTTAAAATATGAGGAAATCACAGTTTTTTAATATTCCTTCTTAATCCTTTTTAGGGTGGACATAAATTGAGGAAAATATGTCAGTTAATTTTTGAAGTAATTAGAAATATGAAATGCTACATTTCATTTTTTCTTTGTATTAATGAGACTCCAAGGGAAAGCAAGAGAGTTGAGCGAACGGATAGTAGAAAGAGGAAGAATACTAATCCTCTTCTCCTTCAGACTTCTACTTTTCTCCTGAGGCCTGTTCCTAAAATGCCTGGGAAGAGAGGAAGTGAAAAAGTAAGGCTCTTTGGGACCCCCATGGCAGTTGAGTGACTTGACGGGCAGATAATTGTCAACCAGAGGAAGGTCAATTTCGCTGTGTTTGAAGAGCAACTGCCCTCAAGCCGGCTCTGGCCTTCTTAGATCATCCTTTGGGAACAATGTCTTAGGCTGTCTTGCAGCTAATGCCTTCTCTAAACCTATTAGTTTTGGAAAATGGTTTTCTCTAGAGGCCCATAGTCTGTGTTGATGGATTCTCTGGATTTATGTTGTGCAGGCGACAGGCTGATTATTTTACGTCCCCAGAACTCAAACTTGGCCTTTGATGATGTTTATTGTGGAAAAGAGCTGCGGTTACAACCAGAATAGAGTTTGCGACACATTGCGTTCTGATTGACAAGGCGCAGTGATTTAGATTGTGCTGATTTTAGACGAGTCAGATATTTTAGCATTAGAAGAGATGAGACCATTACTTTTTGGAAATAGAAAAGCAAATTGGAAAAAGGATGGTCTTGTGAGGAGCATGGCAACACACTCACCTCCCGATGAATTCTATTGCTTCCTTTTACCACGTGTCATATTTTATAAACTCCAGCCATAAATGGATATGACAAGGTCAGTAATGATCTTATTTTTCCACATTTGTGTGCATGACAGCTCTGTGTGAGACCCCAAATGTCTGGGATCAAGCTGAGAGGGGATGCTTATTTGTTTCTTTTTGCAAAGAAAGGTGCTATTGTTGAGGAAAAAAGAGGTAAGAAAAAATTCCACACCTCTCATTACCTCTCCCTTCTTGTTCTCCTCTTTTTTACAGGGAGAATGAATAGCTAGTTTTGCTGTGCTGATAATCAACTTGTAAAAGCTTGTAATTTTAGTGTCTAATTTTGGATCCCTCAAGAGGTTTAAATCAAGTGCATGAAAGCTGAGATGTACAAAATGATTTATGAGGATGATTATTCCTCTTAATCATGAGTGATTGAGGGAGATTAATAGTCTGACCTACTGCCCACTTTCAGCTGCCTCTCTAGAATTGATTAACTTAATACCAGGCCTAGATTGCCAAACTATATTGTACGCTCATAAGTAACACGTCCATGTTCAACTTTCATAAGGTTTCAGGCTTGATAAAAGCACAAACAAGGTTAGTAGTCTGGGGCACCTGCAGAATTTGATCTCGGGGTGTACACTGAAACCAGACCATGCCTCTATTTCAATAAGTCTCAGATCATTTGGCTTTTTTATTGTGACATGACACAAGGTCAGGAAAAATTTCATATGATATAACCACTCAAAACTTTATTGAAATGAATTAATTCAAGATATTTGTTAAAATATCTATTAAAAATACATTAACGTTAAAATGTTTGGGATCAGTAATAATTTTATATATCTTAAATGTATTTGTTTCCAACTAAATCCTAATTTATTTCTGCTAAATTTTTAGCAGCCATTACACCAGTAATATAAACCCTCAGAAGTCATTCTAGTATGCTGATTTGGTGTTCAAGAAACATTTCTTATTAATATCAAAATGAAAACAGTTCTATCATGACAACTCTCAGAAGATTTTAGCATGGTAATGGATATTACAATGTTAATGTATTTGGTCTTGGCGGAATAGATCTGCTATGCTGCTGAATTGCTGCTGCTGTTGGTTATTGCTGTTGTAGATTATTGCTGCTGCTGCAAAGTACTGCAAAGAACTTTTTACTGCCGATACATGTCAATACGGTGCTGTGAGTATTTAAAACATACAGTATTGCTGCTGCACAAATAGCATATATAATAACCCATACCAGATCTATACAGGTGGAGCTGGGGAAGGTGGAGGGTTTCAGAGGAACTCTGTGAAATGCTCTATAGTGAATGCTAACCAGCCATTTCAGTGTAAAGCAGCAAGCTCATTGGCTGCATGAACCAATCAACTTGTGCCAAGTAGTTTAAAGGGGTCATGAACTGAGATATCAATTCCCTTTATCTTTTGACATATAAGAGGTCATTGTACTATAAAAACATCCTGTAAGTTTCAGAACTCAAAATTGGACAGAAAATAGCCTATTGCTTCTAAATTATGATGTTTTTTTAATGTAAAAATCTTGATAACATTATATGTGGACCTCAAAGCACAGAACATAATAATAAAAAAGGCAGTTCATGACCCCTTAAACGCTGTGAATATCATCAGTTTGCAATGCATTAAAGGTGGGGTAAGTGATTTCTGGTAGCCAATGTTGATATTTCAAATCACCAAAATAAACACGCCCCTACTCCAAAAGGGTCTCGCCCCTATTTTGATAGCTCCACCCCACACATACATACGCAACCCAGGCAACGATTATGGCGGAATCTGCTGTATTATTATCTGCTGTATTAAACATATTATCTTACTTTTCGGACACACTTTGGGAGCTGACGCTTGAAACAGACAGTGGAGGAGGTTTAGACGCTCCAAGCTTATAGGTTGTGGAAAGGGATGTGTCTTTATCATAGCTGAAGGGAACGACAATACGATTGCAGATGAACAAACAAGCGAACATGACACACGAGCATATTCAAGCAAAAGCCAGCAAATATTAGTTCTGTGAAACAAAGCAAAACCAATTTTACTCACCTAGCGAGAAGAAACAAAGCAACCTCTGCATCTGATCGCAGGCCTTCCCGCTCCTTGAGTTCTCTCCAGCGCTGGAAAGCTGATCCGAAATTTACACGGGTTCTATACGTCTTGCCTTATCGTAAGCCTTCTTTTGTTCCGCAGAAGTTTTCCTCTTTTGTTTTAATCCGCCATACAAGTTTGTCTTGGTACTCGGCCCAACTTTGAAAAAATACATACCCCACCTTTAACGACCCATCAGCCTGCGCCATCTAGAGTTTCATGACAGCATGTGTGCTACTTTTTGTGCAAACTGCTATGTTTTATTTATGATTTTTTTGATGGGTAGAAATTCAAATGAATCAGCTTTTATTTGAAATGGATGTTTAACATTACAATTTTCACTTTTGATCAATTTAATGCAAATCTTGCTGACCTCAAACTTTTGAATGGTAGTGTAAATTTAAAAACTTTTTGAAAGTAATGCTCACATGTAGGCTAACATGTATTTAAGATGTAAGGAAAATGTTTTTCTTTGTACTTTTTTCTTGATGGTTATACCACATGACTTTTTAGAGTCATTAAACTTTTGTTGAAAGCAAGATGAAATCAAGATGAATACAAAGAGTACATTTCTAAGAATGTATCACATGCATTTTAAACTAGCTAGATTTTGAAAAGATTTTTCCTTTTCTCTATCATGGACACTTTTATATGTCAATGACCCTAAAAGTGAGGCTTAAATGTCAGTAAACATTTATTCCCTCCCATCATCTCAGTGTGTCACTTTCTTTTCAGTGGAAGACAGAGGACAGAGAGTAGCGGCACACTGGATCTCTCACAGAACAGCACAGCAAGAGGCTGAAACGTCATTTAAGGTAAGACTATAGATAACGATACAAAAAAAAAATGAAATATTCACCACATAAATGTTTTTGTATATGACATTAAATATTCATCAGTTTTATTCATGCAAACTGTCAGGACACTCCACACTAGGGTGACATTTAGTTAGATGATATACTAAAGACACATTGTACACTGTTGTCTTGGTCTCAGCAGTAAGTTGTTAGTTATCTAAACAATGTGGTATGCTGCGCAATAATGGATGTTTGTGGATTTCAGCATTGTGGCAAAAGTTTTGTGTGTTATGTAATCTACAACACAGTGTTGTTTTCTTTATGAAGATGGTCAAGCCAATGTCATACAAGCCAGTCCATTGGGTACTTAGAAGGATTGAGTGGTTGCCTCTTGCATCTGGCAGTGGAAGCATTACTGCCAGAAAGCAGCTCCTGATAAGCACCCTAGGGTTCTGGTTCTTGTTATCTGAGTTATTAAAGCTTGTAGAGAAACTCTGTTGGTGTGTATTTTAGACTTCCATTATGAGGAAGGCCTGGAATCCAGACAGACCCTTGCGTTTGGTTGCTGCAGGTGTTCTAACATTCAGAGTTTCTAACAAGCAACTAAAAAGCTTTTCCTTCATGTTCTCTTGGAGGAGCTTGATGATTATGTGCAGTCTAGGAGACCGCCTGCCTTCTGAAGGATTTAAAAGAGGCTCCTCTTTTGTTTAAGTCAATGACAGCAATGTAGTGGGGTTTCAGGCAACTGCTCTAATCATGGCTCCTTCTGTGTCCAGTTGTCGCATGATGACCATTCATTGGTGACAGTTCTGGAGTGTAGCTTGGAGTAATATTCTACCCATTTCTTCATCTTTTTACTAATCTCTTCACCATCTGGATGGTTTTTAAAAAACATATGAATATTATATACCATATATATCAGCCACCCACTCTCCAGTTGTCTATATTAGCCACTGAAAACCTCATATAAATATTACATAACATATAAATAATCCATAAAGTTCAGTAGTTTGTCCTGACCATTCCCATTGGCTGATTTAAAGTCCCAGCTCTCTCTACTAAAATTTTCTACTCTAATAGATATTTCCTATCCTTGAATAGTGTAGCTGAATTTCATGTGCTGTAATACATGGCCACACACACGTCAGTGCGCACACATCCTCGTGCACTCCTCTGGAACATCCACTCAGACTGATTTCTCTGTTATATTGACATCTGTGCTCCGTCTCAAACTCGATGCCCTTCAGATGCATCTAACCTTCTTAGCTTGTTGTGAAACCCTGAGACAGCCTGGAAATGTCAAGCTAAATGCCCCAAAACAAGTCCAGTTGAACCTTCATGAGAGCGATGACGAACATACAATAATAAACAGTAACATATTTACCTCTACACAGAGATCCTGTTTGAGATATTTTTTTGATTATGATATGTTGCGTAATACTAAATGGTCAATCTATGGACATCAGGTCCTATGTGTGGTTCATCATGGGAAGTTTGTCAGTCTTATCAGTATTTGTTTTTGGTTCAGCATGGAGCAGTCTGTCTTACGGGCCTTAGATGTGGCATGGTTCAGTAGAGGCATCATGAACCAATTTTTTGAGGGGTCACTAGTGCCAGTCCTGGCTCACTTGGTGCCCTAGGCGAGATAAGACATAACCAAAAAAAAAAAAACCTTTTTAAATATTTATCAGTGCTTTATAAATGTCAGACAATATATTTGTCAGACCCCGTTCCGTGTTTTGTGTGTTTTGCTCCCCAAGTGTTTCCTTATGCCCTTATTTGGTTTTTCCTGTTCCCATTATGTTCCCCGATTAGTTCTTAATTTGTTCCCAGCTGTGTTTAGTTAATTATCCTCATTCCCCTGTGTTTATAAGCCCCAGTCTGTTCAGTTTGGTTTTTTGTCGGGTCTACTTGTTGAATGTTCGTCGATTCCTGTGCTACATGTGTCTTCCTTGGTGTTAAAATAAAGTTAATTATTTCTGGATTCCCTCCGTCTCCTCGCTCCGACACAGTAGCAGCAGCAGCGTGACAGAAGACCCGACCAAAACAGAAAAGTAAGCGGCGCCCCTTCTCCCATGTTTTTGTTTTTGTTTTATAAGTCTTTTGTTTTCCATTTCGTTTCTCCCCGCCAACATGGAGGAACGAGCGACGTTCATCGCCGTGGCTCAGGCGAGCCATGACCCACTCACCTACGTGAGGGCATTCGTGCCGCTCGCCCTCACCAGCTCCCTGGATGGGGAGACCCTGGTGACGCTGTTCCGGCTCGGGATCACATACCATCGCCCCGTGGAACTCCCAGACACCACCAACCTCGACTGGAAGGAGGCAGTCATCTGGTGTCTGGAGAGCCTCTGATCCCGATCCGGGACTCCTCCGCCGGCTGTTCAGTCGCGGCTTTCTCCAGCCTGCCGGCCACTCCAAAGTCAAGCCAGTCGGTCGTGGCTCACTCCCGCCCAAAGCTCGCTCCAGTGTCGGCTCTAGCCCCCGAGTTCGCTCCAGTGCCCGCTCCTCGAAAGCACCTTGCTGTGCCTGCTCCTCCAGAGCACCCTCCAGTGCCAGCTCCTCGTAAGCGC